TATATACGAATCTTGGGGTAAGATTTGAACATGAATTTCGACTAAAAAATCGGTGTCGAGATTTGAATGCCAGATTAATCTAGAGGGAAAACCATGAAGAAAAATCTAAACTTCGTGAAAATCGGATGAGATTTGACCGAGTTATGGGGGTAGTACATTTTGACCCATGTCTATATACGAATCTTGGGGTAAGATTTGGACATGAACTTCGACCAAAAAATCGGTGTCGAGACTTAAATGCCAGATTAATCTAGAGGGAAAACCATGAAGAAAAATCCAAACTTCGCGAAAATCGGATGAGATTTGACCGAGTTATGGGGGTGATAATTTTTGACCCATGTCTATATACGAATCTTGGGGTAAGATTTGGACATGAATTTCGACTAAAAAATCAGTGTCGATATTTGAATGCCAGATTAATCTAGAGGGAAAAACATGAAGAAAAATCCAAGCTTCGTGAAAATCGGATGAGATTTGACCGAGTTATGGGGGTGGTAATTTTTGACCCATGTCTATATACGAATCTTGGGGTAAGATTTGGACATGAATTTCGACTTAAAAATCGGTGTCGAAATTTGAATGCCAGATTAATCTAAAGGGAAAAACATGAAGAAAAAGCCAAACTTCGTGGAAATCGGATGAGATTTGACCGAGATATGGGGGTGGTAATTTTTGATCCATGTCTATATACGAATCTTGGGGTAAGATTTGGACATGAATTTCGACTAAAAAATCGGTGTCGAGATTTGAATGCCACATTAATCTAGAGGGAAAACCATGAAGAAAAATCCCAACTTCTTGAAAATCGGATGAAATTTAACCGAGATATGGGGGTGGTAATTTTTGACCCATGTCTTATACGAATGTTGGGGTAAGATTTAGACATGAATTTTTGACCCATGTCTATATACGAATCTTGGGGTAAGATTTGGACATGAATTTCGACTAAAAAATCGGTGTCGAGATTTGAATGCCACATTAATCTAGATGGAAAACCATGAAGAAAAATCCAAGCTTCGTGAAAATCGGATGAGATTTGACCGAGTTATGGGGGTGGTAATTTTTGACCCATGTCTACATACGAATCTTGGGGTAAGATTTGCACATGAATTTCGACCAAAAAATCGATGTTCAGATTTGAATGCCAGAGTAATCTAGAAGGAAAATCATGAAGAAAAGGCCAAACTTCGTGAAAATCGGATGAGATTTGGCCGAGATATGGTGGTGGTAAATTTTGACCCATGTCTATATACGAATCTTGGGGTAAGATTTGGACATGAATTTCGACTAAAAAATCGGTGTCGAAATTTGAATGCCAGATTAATCTAGAGGGAAAAACATGAAGAAAAAGCCAAACTTCGTGGAAATCGGATGAGATTTGACCGAGTTATGGGGGTGGTAATTTTTGATCCATGTCTATATACGAATCTTGGGGTAAGATTTGGACATGAATTTCGACTAAAAAATCGGTGTCGAGATTTGAATGCCACATTAATCTAGAGGGAAAACCATGAAGAAAAATCCCAACTTCTTGAAAATCGGATGAAATTTAACCGAGATATGGGGGTGGTAATTTTTGACCCATGTCTTATACGAATGTTGGGGTAAGATTTAGACATGAATTTTTGACCCATGTCTATATACGAATCTTGGGGTAAGATTTGGACATGAATTTCGACTAAAAAATCGGTGTCGAGATTTGAATGCCACATTAATCTAGAGGGAAAACCATGAAGAAAAATCCAAACTTCGTGAAAATCGGATGAGATTTGACCGAGTTATGGGGGTAGTACCTTTTGACCCATGTCTATATACGAATCTTGGGGTAAGATTTGGACATGAATTTCGACCAAAAAATCGATGTTCAGATTTGAATGCCAGAGTAATCTAGAAGGAAAATCATGACGAAAAGGCCAAACTTCGTGAAAATTGGATGAGATTTGGCCGAGATATGGGGGTGACAATTTGTTGTCGAAGTTAAAAATAAGTTAAGATAGCTGTCAGACTGTAAAGAACTGAGACGACTTCTTGTGAGTTCACAGAATCAAATGATTATCTTTTCCTACTTGCTCAATATGGTCAGAAGCGATTTCAGTTAGACTGCTTTCTGTAGACTCAATCTACTCAATCTACTGCCTGAGAAAAACAAAGAGAAAGTGCTTCATAATGTGTTTATCAAATGAAGCTTATTTGGTGTGGCATAAAATCAAGCTACAAGTATGCAAATCAGACAGTTTCCGATATGTATCTGACTTTTAGCTCTGATTATAAATACTTGTTTTTACAATTCTATGGGACAACATTGCGTATGCTTGACAGCTGCTGTTAATTAGACTAAATCAGACATATAACCTGAGATTTATAGACGCTTTTATAAAAGCCTGTATAATATAGACAAATATATGTTTTTATATACATGAAATATTCCTTGCTATATTTATGTATGTGTAAAGATATATATTCTATATAAGAGACATCCCATATGACATGTTATGTTAGTTTGTGACGTTGATTTGTGCAACTTTGGCAATACTCAACAGGCATGTTTATTGTTACATTGCTGGCTTTTACTTTTTAGCGTGCACACATACACACGCAACAAAAATGTTGCCCTAATGTTTGCCAGACAGCTTGTCTTGTGTGTGTGTGTGTGTGTGTGTGTGTGTGTGTGTGTCTGCGCTTGAGTGTTGGCTATGTGCGCTTATTACACGCGTTTTTGACTTTAATCCTCCGGAGTGCTGGCAAACAAAGCCAAAATAACAAAGGTTTACATAGCTGCCAGTTGGTTTGCAGCTTATCGCAGCAGAAACACACTAACATACGCGAATACACACACAGGTTCATAAATCTGTGGAAAAAAAGAAAACATGTACAAGAAACGAGTCTGCCAGCGAGCTCTGAGCTCATGTTAGAAGTGAAAATCTTAATTATACATGACACCAACAGCAGCCCAGCGCCGACAAGCGTCTGAGATTGAAAGCCGCAGCGGCCATTGTTCAAATATGTGTGTGCTTGTGCGTGTGTGTGCGTGTGTGTGCGTGTGTGAGTGTATGCTGTGCTTGTGCTTGTAAAGTGTCGCCATCTTTTACTCAATTATGGCTGACAAACACGCACTGCGCCCAAACAATGCAGCATGTATTAATTTAATTAAAATCCTTTTATATGTAATTTTCTCTGTTTTTTCACTCCGAATTTCCCCACAGGACAGCAGCAACAGGCGCCGCTTTTGTTCAACTTTCAAGACACATTTATTTATTAAATTTGCCTCAATCTCCCAGGTCTTTCTTCACCAAAGTCTGTGACAAGCACCAATTTCCATTTTGGTATTCTGCATTAATTCGTGCACCAAATGAATTTCCGCAAAGTCGCAGTCGATTTTTTCCTTGGCTTCAAAAAGTTTCTCTAAAACCTAAGTTTTCTTAATGTCGCAATGAAAATCTAATGGCAGCATTTTCCTTAACTTCCTTTAAATTTGAATACATATATATAATATTCTTGTGAATAATTAAAACTGGCTATAAAACGATTTGGATTTGGATTTGGATATCGTCTAAGACATCTATTTTATTTTTTAATGACAATCCATGATGATAAAAAATAAAACATGCACCGCTCTTACTCGGGCTTTCTATAAACCAAAAGCTGCCGACTCCCCATGTTAATGTGAACAAAAATGCAGAGACTTTAGAAGAAAAGAGTTCTAGTTGGGAGCTCCCGACGCGCTCGCTTGTAGTAATAAAGATAAATAAAACAAAAAGTTCCTTTGGCTGGGTTCAAACTCGCAACTGGCCGCAAATTGTGGCTTTAATGAGTGCGAAACACAAATTGGTGTTTTTACTTGATTTATAGCTACATAGCTAGGAGGGTGGTGGGGATAGCTATAAAAGTTTTTTGACTCTCGCTCTCAATATTTATCAAAGCTGCTAAAAAAAACACGATTTCGACATCGATCTTAATCGATTAGTTGGTAACGGAGCAAGTAATCGATTAGTTGGTAACGGAGCAAGTAATCGATTATTGGAAACAAACACGTACTGCGCGGGCACTAGGAGGACCTACTTTCCAAACTTAAAGTCTCTAGCTCTTATAGGTTCTGATATCCTCGCATTCATACATACGGACGAACGAACAGACAGACTGACGGATATGGCTATGAAGATGTCTCCTTCTATGCGGACGAATATATTTCTTTTGCGCTGCTCAAAACAAAAGCGACTTTCTTAAAACGCCTTAGAACTAGGCAACTCAAAATAGCGAGGGTTTAAAAATAGATGTCTATTTACTTTTTGGAAAAGTTCTGTAGTACTTATAAAACTTTCGATAGTCATTTAAAATAAGAATAATTGTTTATAGCGGCTTTCTATTAAACGGAATAAATGACTGAAGACTTATGGGTTGTTTTCCAATTAGACCAAATAGCGCAGGTTGGCGCATCTCGGCAAAAGTTTGGCATGCAAGACTTGAAAACAAGTTTTTAGCAGCCGCTGGCTTTCGAGCCGAACAGAAATAACATGCGAGTACACGTAAAATAACAAGCAACAAAATATTGTTGTCATTGTCAACTTGAAAAGTCATTCTACGAGCACTTGCGCCATTTAGAGCATGGCTACAAAAATGTTTCTCATACCATGTACAAGTGTATAAGAGAAGTATATTGGTTCATCGCGCTGGGCGTGAGATGAGAGCTGCCAAGTTTAATCTTTAAAAATAACCAAGTAAATGAGGAGCCGTTTAGAGGCGTTCAAACCATGGAAGTCTCTGTCTTTGACAGCAGCTTCAGGTAAACTATTAACCACGACTACTACCACGCCTAGAAATTTTAAAACGGTTGGAAAGCCACTGCTTGAAACGGACAGTCTTTATGTATTCCACTGATTTAAGCTGATTTCTGCACTGTGCACAGCGTATTGTGCAGTTGGTTACAGCCCACTGCCAATTGTTGTTTTCTTCATCTTTTTCTTTTGCTGGGCAGCGATAAATTCGGCGCACTGTCAACTCACCTCAGCTGGCGCTCCTGCTCGAAACGCGGTATCCACACGGGCAGCGTTAGTTGCCTGCGTGTTGCATGCTTCAGAAAATATACCATGGCGCGCACATTCTCATGCTGTCAGGCGAAAAGGAAATGGTATATACTATACATGCAGCATATATATGGCTTACCTGATCCTGAAAATCGCTGCGCCAGCCGGCTATAAAGTGCGGTGCATGTGGCCCAAATAGTGCGCCCAAAAAAATGCGCTCGAATGTCTTCTCGCACTCGAAAATGGCCACTGTGGAGCATAGAGAAAGAGAGGCAATTACAGCATTAGCTCCACAAGGAGCAGCTCCAACAAAGAAGCCCCACAAAAAGAGCCAATTACGCATCTGCACTTGTTGCCTGCTTTCCCTTCTATTTTGTTTTTTTTTTCTTTTTTTTTTTTGGGAGCATGCATGCTGCGTGCGGCGGTTGCCACAAAATGAAGTCGCAGCGGCAGCTAACGGAAAACGGAAGCTTGCTGAAATGTCAGCAGCCAAAAAAAAAAAAAAAACATTGAAATTGTTTGTAAAAGCAAACGCAGGTCTCTAGTTAACTGGGCTAAGAGCGGGTTGCCTCCGGGCAGTGGGGTGGCAGGGCTGCTGACAGCATTTTGGCTACTGTTGCAAGCGTAAAACTGCACGCGTTGTACACGAAAAACATGTAGGTGTGCTCGAGCCGAGCGTGCCCGACACGCAGATGCCCTCTATCGAGCTGTCATTCGCACACACATGCTACAAGGTGCCTTTCCTCCTTCTCTATTTACAGTCTGAACAGATATTTGCCAAGCTTAAATATGGCACTCAAATACATTTTACATACATTACATACATTCGCACAAAAGCATTATACCTATTTAATGGGTGCAGGGTATATTAAACAACGCAAGCTTTAACGCTGGCCAAGGCACACACGAGGTTCACACACACACACACACATGCACACGCACCACACACACACATACTTAGCACTCAGTCTGAAGCTTTGGCATACCATTAATTCTGTTCGTCTTCGTGCTGTCAAGTTTTACGCAGCATTTTAATTAGAGCCAACACCCAACACACACACAAACGCAGCCTCTAGAGGCATGGCCCAAATAGCCTGCAACACTTTAAGGCACTTTACAAGTTTAACGATGCAACAAGCAACGAACAGAGCAACAAGCAACAAGCAACAGCAGCCGCATTAGCAACACCTTCGCCTCAACTTAACGTAATTTCAGCTAGCAATTAGGGCAAACACGTGATTAAAAGAGATTCGCTTGCTTATATAAGCAGGGTTATAATCTGATGCGATGCCATAAAATTCATTAAAATATGCGAGACAAAAGGCCATGCCCAAGAGCACACCACACACACAGACACACACCACTCACACACACATATGTCGGTGTATTAAATTATTAAGTTTGTTCCTTTGACTTACCCAACAGTTGAACAACCACCTCGGAATCGCGCACACCCCAATCCCAACAGGTGCGCAAAGCAATATACAAAATGTTGTGATATTTTCCCATGAGGCAGACCTGCAAGAGACACGTTCACACTCCCTCTATATAAATATATACACATGTATAAAATGAAAAGTTTTTGCATAAAACGCATTTAAATTTAAATTAAATGCCAAGCATTTTGACCAAACGCATATGCTACAAATTGCTTTGGTATTATGCAGGACTTAAAAGCTAAACATTAATCAAAAATGTGTGTGTGTGTGTTTGTGTGTGTGGACTTAAAAGTACATAAATTCATGTGTATACAAATCCTGCTCCTAAAATCACATGATTGATTATTCATTATGGGATAAATAGATTATATTAAGAGCCAAGTTTTTAGATTTTCAATGCTTTTTAATAAAATACCGTTCATAAAGCGATGCACAGATATGACCGAACCCTACTTTACAACACTGATTTTATCGCTTTGGACTAATCGATAACAAGGCATACATTATATAGAATAAAGTAACTAGATAACAGGTTGATTAGGCTCTTAAGATAATAACTATTTTGTAAATGCTTCAAAATATGTTTTTAAGTCAGCTTACTTTCCATACATTTCCGAGGGCCAGCCTCTGATAAAAACTGATAAAATAACGAATATGGAGTGAGACATTTTGTGCATGCCCTTGCAGAGAGTGTTCAAAAGTAGTTTCAAAAATCCATACATATATGTATGTATATATTCTTGATTATTACCGACGAAAGAGTCGAAGTAGTCAGGCCGATGTTGTCGTAGTAGACCAGATCGGACTGCTATATCAAATAGGTGACAAAGAGACCTCGGACAGAAAATAAGTTCTTTATATGAATTCATTTTTTCATAAGATATCTTGATCAAATAAATCGTTCAAATCGTTGAGCATCCCTACTCATAAAGTTACGGAAAGCCTTTATTAATGTTTCCTCAATAAGATTCAAGAAAGTCAGCCAGTTGGGGCAGCTTTTGTCATATTATGCGTAAAAAAAACTATATTTTATATAAACAAACTAACCCAATATATTAAATGAAAATTTACAAAAATAAAACAAAAACCGTGATGAAAATATGTAAATCGTATTTCTACGTAAATCTCACATTGCCGTTGCCCTGCTTGGCCAGTCGATGGAAACGCAAAGCTTCAATGACCGCCATGCTGGCGACCTCTTCGGTCTGTACATTCTGGCCCACAGAGCAGCCCTTGATGATGGCGCTCAGGTGATCGAGGACATCGCGGCGCGACTGTCGGTCCTGCAGTCCGTTCCGCGTGATGCGCTCGAAGGTGTCATTGAAGAAGCACTCGAAGATGTAGTCCATGACCAGTTGGCGTCTCGGCGCCTTGCCGCAGCGCTGGTGACTGGCTCGGCTTGTCGCCGCCCGTGGCCCGACCAATGGCCGGAAGCCGTAAAAGTATTGCGGCAATGACAGCAGCCAAACCGAAGCCAGTTGCCGTTTTAATTGACTTACGAGCTGCTGCAATGCCAACAACCACTGCAACAACATGTTGGCAAATAAATAACAACAAAAACAACTACAAATTAGTGTTTAATTCAAGAAGAAATTCACATTCAAATAAAACCGATTTTGAATAGACAAAAATACGTTAAACAAAGTTCGGCACTCGGAAGCAAATAAAAAGGAAGGTAAACTTCACGTGCGAACAGGCAGAGGGTGAGCAGCACAGATAGAGAGAGAGTGCGAGCGTACACAACAGCACGCGCTCTTCCTCTCTCGCTAACTGTGTGCGCTCTCCATATTGATTTTTTCGTGTTGGCAACAATACGCACACAAACAAAAACAATACGGTAAAAACAAGAAGCAAAATTGTAAACAAACAAAATATTCGCATTGCGTAGTATGTACTATATTTACATTTAATCAATTCATGGAAAACCGCGCGCATTCAACTAAATCGAATTGCATATTCGATTAGTTCTAATACTTGTTATCATATCACATTGTTTACAAATGCCGACTAGGTGTTCTTTTAAATATTTTATAGCCAGCAAACAGGTATCTGTGCTTTCTGGGCGTAACAGTTAAATTGGAACAGTTTTTAAATTTTACAAAAAATGATATCTCTTATGCAGCCGCTCTGTAGCATTCGGTATGAAAAACTCGCTTCTTTATTGCATTATCAAGCAAACGCGCCAAACAATACAATAATTCGCGCTGTTCAAACGCCGTTAAGCAACTGAGTAGCTGCCCCAAAGAATATATGTAACATTTCAGACCTAACGCTCAGCTGTTCTTACCTTTCTCCCACACAATGACTCTCTTCTGCTCTCTTCTTGGCAACCCACCATTAGAAACAGGTCTCTCACCCACGCTCACACACTCTAGAACTCTGCGCCTCTCTCACTCTCTTACACTGTCCGTTCCGATATTTGCTTTAAGCAACAATTTACTTTATTACGACGGCAGTGTGTAATTATTTAACAATTTTTTTAATATTTGTATTTGGCAAGCTTCAATTAACGTATACCTGATTGATCGGAGGAATACAATACAAGTTAAAATTAAAAATGACTTTTTTCGAACTAATTTATTCATTAAAAGAAACAAATTAAAGATATTTCAAAAATAGATATGACAAAAAATATCTGATGAAGCACATAGGGAAAAATTAAAAATAAATCTGATATGCAATCGAATCAAAAAGATACATTAAATATGCCCTGAAAATGGAAAATCTTTTGTACAAATCGATGAATACCAATCTTATTTTAATTTTTATAGATCTGTGGCCAGAATGCATCGGCAATACAAGAACCTTCAATAGTTTAACACTTCTAGTATGTAGGTCGCACATCACCTGTAAAGAAAGTCCTCAGGAATTTTTTCAATTTCTTTTTACTTCATTTTGTATTTATTTGCACATGTGAATTACATTGGGGCTATTTTAATTGATTTAAGTGCTAACCGTGCACAACATTTAAAAAAAACAAGCTGTTGTGTAAAATTTTTAAAAAGAAATCCTTTAGTTCCGTTGCATTTTATTAATTTTTTATAATTTTTAACACAATTTTATTTATTTGCATATGTTAATTGAATTGCGGTTCTTGAAAATAATTCAAGAGCGATATGAGAGACGCCATTATATGCAATTAAACATAAAACAATATGACAATATTTACCATCCATTCGAGTATTTATTTTTGCTGTTCTGTAACTTTAACGCTTGCATATCAATTACAGAGCTTAAATATTCATATTGCTAGCGTTGTATTTACATATAGATATTTAATATTTACTCTGAAAATTACCCACTGTGCAAATGTGTATTTTAATGAAGACATTAATTAAACCCATTCACTTGGGCCAGAAGAAGACGGAGTGGTTGATTGTCCCATTTTATGTGGATGGTGCTCTTTAATCAGTTGAATAAGCAGAAACGAGCAAGAATGCGCGACATCAAGGTGAGAGACTGCAAGATACTCTGTAATTTGTACGCAATCTAAACATGATGTAGTCAATTGTATAAAAAGAGGAAATTAAAAAGAGAAATTATATACATTATCGAGTCAACTATTATTGTTTGGCTTACAGTATAAACCAATCACTCCAAGTGGTTCCATGAATACACGCTTTGGCTCGAAAGTTTCTTTGACCCCAATTTTCAAATTGGTACTGAAGAATTCAAGTTTTAATTTAATACATTCCGTTCTAATACAAATATTGCAATCCGTAAATATTTTTCTATACAAAAATACGATCGCCATTAAAAATTTGAGTTTTCAAAGTATGCTTAAACAAAAGTCAGTTATACTTACTTCGGAGGCGGGTCCACCTCCAGAGTTTTTTATTTTTAAACCAGCTCTTAAAGGTCTTTCAGTACGATGAGTTTATAAAGATGGACTGTATGTCATCGATTGTAGATCTATAAAATAGATTAAGACTCGGAGCAGCAAGGCATAACTTTATTGTGTCCCATAGCAGATATTTTATGCGTAAAGGGTACACGAATGGTAAGAACTTAACGTCTTCTTGCCTGAGTGCAATGTGCATCATTAAGTGCACTTCATTAAAATACGTAAAAGTCATAAATATTACCTGCGATTTTAATGCGACTTCCCCAAACGAATGCTTCATTAATTTAAGAGGCGGTCCATTGAATTTGTGGCCGAAACGCAAACCGAGTGGCGAGCTGTGAAAAACTGCCAAATAAATTGAATTAAATGTGTATGCAATCAGTTATTGAGCACTATAATCAAGTACATGATGCAATGTACCCCAACATTGACTCACACACAGACACACACAGACACGCGTGCACTTGTTGTCTGGCGTATTTATATAAAATGTTGTGGCTCCACGAAACGGAAACGGAAATGCGACCGCAGCAAGCGCCACGTACGCAGCCAGACAAATTTAATATTATGCTCTGTTCAGAAAAGTAAAAAATAAAATGGGGTGAAAATGGAAAATAGTGTGATAAATTCAATGGAAAAACACACAATGCTAAAATCTGCATAAATTGATGACAGGAAATAAATATAATGCAATTGAAAATGTGAGCAAAATTTATAATAATAAGAATAATTGATGAGCCGCCTATGCAATATACTATATAATGTAATGTTTAGCGCAATACAATTACAAAAGTACTAATAAAATTAAATTCTTAAAATTATTGAAAAATTGAACTAAATTTGTCTTGGGATGAAGGCAGCACGAAGCTAGGTTCAGGGTATCTACTAGTCGGGCACACCCTAGTAGAGCAACATAACTTTAGGATTTGCAGCCATGGATAGAAACTATTTTCAGGCTGCGGTCGAAAATGCAATGCTTCCGAAATCATTTACCATCATCTACGAACCAAGGCTGGCACTTGAGAAAATGCCCGGGTGCACGTATGTGCATCTATATGTTGACATACATTAGCCAAGTGCTTGCAATAAATTGCTGTCAATTGTGGGCTCCATCTTTATCTCTGGGGCGCATCCGTTGCGAATGTGAAGTGGTAGTAATTCAAATCTCTGCCAAGCACTGTCAAGGCAACTGCACGCGATTGTCCTTTAATGATATGCTTGAAGCAAGTCGACTATGTAGACCAAACATTTGATTGCTGATTTTGTATTTTGCCTGTTTTTCTTTTTTTCAGGCTGCTGTGCCAGGAGATCAACGAGGATGATTCATTTAATCTGGAGTACCGCGGCCCGGTCATCATGAAAGGCAAGCCGACGCCGATGGACTGCTGGTTCCTGACACGTGCCACCAGCGCACTAAATGCCAGCAGCAGCGGCAATGGCAGCCTCGACTCGCCGCAGCTGCAGCCCACAACGCCAACGGCCACAACGCAACGGCTGGTCATGGGCATGGGACATGCGAGTGTCTCACGTACATCCTCGGCGAGCGGCAGTGCCGGCGGTGGCGGTGGCGGCGGTGGCAGTGGTGGGGGAGCAGCCGCAACGGGTCCTGTGGCGCCCTCAGATGCATAGGATATGCAAAAGGATGCAAATATACTGTAAATCTACGTGCAACTCCTTGACTTCAGCAGCCAAGCGACTATCTAACTGATTGTGTGTGTGTGGTGTGTGTGTGTATGTGTGACTTGGCCACTTAACCACTTCATTTCAATGTATTTGTGCTGTCTTGGCTTGCATCCTTGTGTGCATCTGCGTGTGTAAGTGTGTGTGTGTATGTGTGTATGTGACTGCTGCTGCTGCTGCCACATTGCGGCTGAAGAAGTTGGCATCAGGCATCGCTGGATCGTTGTGCAAGGTAATTTATGTTAATGCTCTTACAGCTGTAACCTCACAAAAGAGGCTAGGGTAAGAGAGAGGGAGAGAGAAAATGGAGTTAGTGTCTATGGGACACGCCCACACAAGTTAGTTTACAAATGATTTACATTTCTTCAGCGATTACGCTGCGTATACGTAATTTATGGGCATATTTACAAGGCTTATTTGTACTGCATAAATCAAAACCGTGTCTCTGCTGTACAAAATTAGCATTATGTATCATTTTTATGCCCCACCCATAGACGTTCGCCATTTGTTAAAGTGTTATCGCTGCAAACTCAACCAAACACGATTTGCTGTCGGGCCATAAAAGCAAGCGCACATATCCTGTACAAGTTTTCATGCTGTTTGCCCAAAAGCCTCGCTGCTTGTGCAGTAAACTAGATAAGTCCAAAACAACTCAATATAAAAGCCATAATATGACAAACATTTAAACATATATATATCTGCACTTCAGCAGCCGCCGAGCTTGAACCCAAGCCCAAGTCTCGTCTCTAACATTTTGGAGCATACTTGCGGGGCTGCCAAAGGATTGTCAACAGCGCCAAGCGAATTGTTTGCTTTTGTTTACAAAAGTTTGGCCAGCCTCCTGCTATGAATCTATGTAGCTTATATATGTCTATATATATATATATATATATATATATATATATGTATATAAATGAATAGGTATAACAGAGCCACCACAAAACCTGCCTTTCTGGGCGCTGGAAAGAAAGAGCACCAGCTTTGGAATTTAACACATATTTTCATATCAAATATTTGGCATAAACAAACAACCGCAGTAGCAGAAAGGA